GATGACATTCCAGTAAGGCAATTAAGTGGTCCTATCAACAAAAGCTTGGTCTTCACAAATATTCCTTCTCCCTCCAGCAGTTTTCCAGTATCTACACATATCAATCAGTAACCTGTCTGTCCTTGAGCCAGCAACCTTGCTGTGCCACAAATCTTTATCTTACAACAGAGACTTTGGAGCCTGAGGAAAATTTCCAGTCCTCCACGAGGTCAATTATTTGAAACTACAAGGCTTTGGAAAACCAGGCCCTGTGAAGTACATTTGCTTTATAGTATATTCCACATATAATAATAAAGATTTGGTATTTGTATTAGTCAGTATGGGCTAAGTTATGCTGTAATAAAAAGCAATCCCCAGATTACAACAAAGATTTATTTCTGGGAGGGCTGGCAAGGGGTTCTGCCCCACATTGTCTTCCATGACCCAGGCTGGTGGAGCAGCCACATCTAAAATGTTAATAGTCACCATGGCAGAGAGAAAGAGAAAATGGCACATCATGACCAGCTGGTCATGAAAATTCCACCTGGAAGTGACTTGTGACCTTTCCTCACATTTCAATGGCTAAATAAAGCAAGCCCATGAGCATCCCTGACTCCAAGTGACTAAGGAAGTGCTGTTCCCTCATGTGAAGGAAAACTTTTGTAAGAAAAGAAACAACATGTCTAATTTCAGTGGACACATACTCATTCTAAAGTCCTAAAATATATCAATTTCTATCAAAGCTAACAGCATATACCAGTGAAACAATTTGGCTTTATCAAGATAATTGCAAAATGAATCAACATTCACTTGTCTTGTGAAAGTCACTTTGGATATGTGCACTTTGGTTTGTCCTGTGTGCAGAGTACATCTGAAAAAGGAAAGATTTGTTTAGGCAATGAAGTGGAAAAAGAGTATGTTGAACCTCACATCTTAACAACTTACCCCAACTCCATTTCTCCTTTAAAAGGAAAAATACCTTATTCACTATTGAGGAGTAACATTCTATCAAAACTTAATTTTTCTTTTTCTCTCCTCCACACATCAGGATTTGGTGGCAGTTCTAGGGTTTTGATACAAGAAATGCACTGAAAACATTTGGAGTATGCTAAAAAGAAAGGCCCTCTTTAGAGGGTCTGGCCTCATTTTGAAGCGATCCTGGAGAAAGTTATCGAAGGTGTTCACCACCTGGCCCTAGTTTTGGCCCATGGAGAAGCAGATGGTTCTCAACCACCTGCTCCTTCCGCCTCCCACACCACTTCCTGTCCCTGTGTAGTTATAAGGAGAGCAGCAACTACAACACCAGTTAAGAATCATGAGCAGATGTGGAGTAACAGATATGATTTAGCATTATGGTGGCATTTGCCAACATAAAAATTATTACAACTTTTGCTGTAAATTGTTCTGTAAATTCTTAAAAATATGCAAAAACTGACATTTCAAGAGCTGAGATAATTTAGATTTATTAAAAAGTTGAGGTCCTTGAGATTCAGCAAAAAGAGAGTATATTTCTTTATTTAGCTTTTAGTTGTGAGTCTTGTTTTTGTTTTTCAGCTCTCGGTTTATAATTCATAAGTCAAAACTGGGCATGCTAGACTTTGACCACTTAATCCAGCTTTACTTACAGATTTCTCCTGGATCTCAGGCAGCAGATGTAACTTCTCTGAATACCAAATTTCTAATCAGAGCATGTAGCAATCATGGCCTGCCTCAAAAATTTGACAGAAAAGCAGTTCATATCTAGAAAGTGCTCAGAAATGCTTCTTAGACATAAGTTGATTCCATTGTCTTTATAGAGCACCCATCCTAAGGAAACTTCTCTCACCACTCTGTCCTCTCTTCACCACCTCCCACACCCATACACAGTGCACTTATGCACACACACGTGCACACGCTTCTCTGTTGGGTGCCACGGTTGCATCACAGACCACCTCAGCCATTCTGCCTTGGCTCTCCCCCAATAGAACCTTCATCAAAATCGTGCCTCTCACCTGAGACAGAAAGCTTCTCTTCCTGAGCCGCTGCTCTCGTCCGTCACATGCAAATAGTGTGTTTTTTCCCGTAAGACACCCCATTGTCACAGTTGGGATAAACCGAGTTTGCTAGCCTTTGAGTATGCATGGCCACAGTGTTTGTTACACATCCCTTTGAAAAGGATAGTGTGGCATGTTACTTGTGCCTGGGTCACATGCAAATAGTGTGTTTTTTCCCGTAAGACACCCCATTGTCACAGTTGGGATAAACCAAGTTTGCTAGCCTTTGAGTATGCGTGGCCACAGTGTTTGTTACACATCCCTTTGAAAAGGATAGTGTGGCATGTTACTTGTGCCTGATCCCCAGACCTAGAAGGTCATACGGAATTAGGGTAGAATGGTCATCACAAATCAAGCTGCTTTCTAAGAGGTTGCCCCATCTCCTTCTCCCCAACTCCCCATACCCCTGTGGTCTTTAAATACAGCTTAAAGACCAGTTTACATATTAAATCTCAGCTTCAATGAGGCAAAACCTGACTTCAGTATTTCTCACACCGGTTGCCCCAGGTGTAATTAACATTGCCCCTGTACATTCAGGCAATTACTGTGGTGGGTACTGTCCTTCTGCCTCAGTCAGAACACGATGCAGCACTTGGCTGTGTAACTCATGCAGAGCTGTCTTTGCCCAGCTGGAAGCACACATGCTGGAGTCTCTAATGTACACTCTAAGTGTTTTACTGTGCCGTTCCGCATACTGAAAACAATAAAGATTTCTCACAATGCCTGAATTGCCTGCTCTTCTGCAGTTAGGTGGTTCCTTCTTTACTGGATCAGGGTATCCAGGACCCTAGCCCTGAAACAGATTTCACTTTCTGGGAAGTTTCATTTTTCCTCAGCTATTGCAAACATGATCTCGCTGAACAGGGCTGAATTTTTAAGGCTGAGTTTGTGGTGTGGATTCTGATGGCTTCACGTTAGTTCAAGTCTCTGAGGACCAGTGCCAATAAATGTGAAAGGGACAACAGTAGATTGGCATACTTTTCCATTTCCACCAGGATGAAAAAACTGCTATAAATTAAGTCTAACCTTAAATGTATAATCTGTCCTTGGATGGAAAAAAAAAAAAGAATATAGCATCTTCAAGCTCTCAGCATCCCTTACGAGAAAAAATTGGTTCTAAGGGTCTCTGATCTTGTGTTTTAGTAAAATAGAACTGCACGGCTGACTGACAGTTCTGATCTAAAGCATTTACGTTTAAGTTTTGATCTCTCTGCTTTTGATTAAAACTAATGAGCTCATTTAATTCAAAATGGGAATCTCTGATAAGAGAAATAAGGTTGATGTGATTGGATTAGAGGGGCAAATTAAACTCTTAGAGCAGAAGTTTGTGCTTATATAGTGTATTAAAAAGCTGTTGGCGTATTATGGCGTGTTAGATGATGAGAAAAATTTCATAGTAATTCATATTTAATCAGAAGAAATGAAAGTACTAAATATAACATGGCTCTGCTTTTCCCTCGAGTGATAAAAAGCTGTACATTTAAAATGACATCAGATCCATGCTCTCTAAAACAAAAAAAAGAAAAAAAAGAAAGCCTTAAGAGGGACACATAAGAAAGGGATACTTGTCAGTGGTTCCATCACCCCTGAATAGAAATGCCATAAAAACAGGAAAATATAGTCATATTACAGTAAGAGTGATACAAGAAAAGCCTTACCCCACAAATACCAAGGTTTTTGTTTTTAGAGTAGCTCTCATTCTTCTTTCATCTGAGCATCAAGTTTAATATGAAAAATAGAGATTACCTACCCTTAGAAATATATGGAATACATTTTGTAATTTAAAATTTTTTAAACTCATTTTACCTGTTTTTCCCTATTTTTTAATAACTATTTTCACATGTACTTAATTCTCCAGTTTCTTTATTACACATATTTCTTTACCCTCACTACAGAGAAAATTAGTATTAATACAGAACTGCTCAAAAGAAATCCTGTTTGTTGTTGGACATATTTCTTTTTAACTTTTGAATAAGAAGAATTTAAAATACTATTTAAGAAGAGTAAAATTAGACAAAGTATGTATTAGGCTTAAAAACCCCAAAATTAATTTCTTTAAAGGAAAACACTTAAATTTATAAAGTACTTTAGAAGCTTGTTTTTAAAGAAAATAGATTTATGTTGCCTCTGGCCTGTTTGCATAATGGTGTTTTTAGATCAACAAGACTGCTAACTACCATTGTAAGTTTCATAAGTTAAAACATACTCTACTTAGTCTAAAAACTTATAAATGGAAAAAGTAAAGATCTTGTTTAAGAGAGGAAATTATTATTTTCTCATATCAGAAGGAGAGAAATAAAAAAACAGAGACTTTGTTCTATTTGGGTGAGGGCAAGGGCAAGATGCTATTAGTGACAGGAATGGAAAGTTGGTATCCTGAGTAGTTTTTGTTTCCCTCTGTACATGCTACTCTCATCCCTCTAAGGTTAGTTGAGAAGACTTCATGCTCCTTATTCCTCACAATGAAAAAATTCATCTCAGGAGGGTGAGGACATTGGTCAGGACACAGCTATCCAACCTTGATGGTTGTGTGGTTCCTAGAACTCCCCACATATGATACAAGAAGGGATTCTCGGGGACAGCAAAGAGCAAGTCTTCATTAACCTTCATCAGAAGTGTGTTTACCTGCACCTTGGCTGACCCCATAAATCTAGTCTTTCTTTTTCATGGCCATTCTCTCCACATGCACCAGCCAAGCCTCAAAGGGAGCTGCACTCACTCTTAGACCCTACATAGGGAGCTGCTGGAAGTTAAAAGGCCTGAAAAGCTCTTGCTAGAAACTGGAACAGAGTTACTTTGGATACATTAATTTTTCTTTTTTATTTTCTGCAAAGTAAACATTTTCTCAATGAGGTAAATTGATTACTACACTCTTAGCACCCATCACTCATTTATTTTTAGTGAACTCAAGGATTGCACCTGAGCAGTAGCTGTGAGGGGCTGTGTAGAGATCTAAATCACATGTCTATGTATTTTTGTATTCCTCAGTGGAGTCAACCAGCCCCAGTCTGCTAACCACTGACAACACACTTGAGCGTTCCTTTTTCATCCGAATGAAATCTACTCTGACCAAACGCGGCGTGCACATCAAATCATCAGGATATAAGGTAAGCTGGGTTCCAGGAGGGGAGACACTTCTGTCTCAGGCCAATCCCAGGTAATTTATATTGAACTTTCCAGCTGCTTTGAATCCATATAATTAACTCATGTGACCTTGAGCAGCATACGGTTCCTAGTCATCTTCCTATCTCAAGGCAGGGGTTTTTCTTCCTGCCTCTCCTTACTTCACACATTGTGAGTGCACTAAATGCCCCAATATGGTGTCTTTTCTTAAACTATTAATATGACAAGTGCATCAGCACCTGCTGGAGAGTCACTTTGATGGAGAAAGTGAAGCAAATTCCTATCAGTTCTTAGCATGAGTGTCCTAGAACTGCTACTTATGAGAGTTCTACTTCTTCCACCGCTCCCTTCAAGTTCCCCCTTTCTCTTTAGAGAAAGAATGTCCACTTTAATAACATCTTGGCCACAGAGATGTGTACACATAGAAAGTCAGATTGGATGTTAGAAACCTTAATTTTGAAATTGCAATATTGAACATTCAGGTCCTGCCTTAGCATATATACAATACTCAACTGACAGGGTGTGTGTGTGTGTGTGTGTATTTTCCTCACAAGCAAAGGGCAAGTCTGGAGTCATAATCTACATTATCATCATTTTAAGGTTAAGGATATAAGAGCTTTCTAATCTCAGGAAATTCCAGCATTTCAGTTACTATAGCAACATAAATTAAGACCTATGAAATTTATGAAATGCCTTTGGCAACCTGAATCTTATCAGTTTTTACAACACACTAACCAATCTCTCAAACAATATTTATTATATGTGGGAGGACAAACAGAAATGGAATGTACCGTCAATGTGACCAGCATGACCTTTCCCGATTTTAGTGTTTAGAACTTGTGATAGCTCAGTTCTTCAGGGTGACCATAGCATGATCAAGGATAGTAGCAGCCATTATCATCAGGCCTGAAAAACCTTATGTAAGTCATCAGGAGACCAGCAGCTGGATAGAAGTCAAAGTCGGGTGCTTTCATTGACATTAATTCTTCAGTAAAAAAAGAAGAAAGGAGGTGGGGAAGCAGGCCCCTCCAAGAACGACCTTTAGCTGAGCTGTCCTACAGTCTGAAGGGCACATATAGAGCATCCTTAACCTTTAACGGGGTGTGAAGCAAAGGATTGGAGGAAAGAAAACAGATCCTATCCTTAGGACTCTTTTGTATTTCCCTGCCTTGCTAAATACTATGCACGTATTATTTGTTAACTGTGTAGTATTAGCAAGTTTGGAATTGTATAAGCAGACTACAGATGTCAAAATTATTGTTATTTTAATGCTATAAAGATGCATTATTTGCAGTTCAGATTTTAGGAGCCATAGGGCTTCCTTTCAACTCTTACTTGTCTGTCTGTCAGCATTCTTTCTTTACTTTTGCTGGTTTTTACTGATTTGTAGGGGGCGTATCCCAGGAGGGAAGGAGGGTGGAAGAGTGAGATACAGTTTGCAAAAACAATATTTAGTATAATTCGATATCATTAGATAATGTTTTGGAAAATTTCTTACTTTCATATTACAAACTACAGATCACAAAGCTTTGCAAAATTGTGAATCTGCAAAAAAGTGGGATATATGTTTGAAAAGATAATGTGGAGAAATAGAGTTTCAGTATAGCCAAGAGAACAAATAGCTTGTGTTCTGCTTGGTGTTTTTGTTTGTTTGTTTTGCCATACAGGCACTTCAGTAAAGTTGTTTTTGCTGCTTGACCTGAAATTGGACAAACTAATATCTTGAATGCTGAAAGAATATTCATTCATTCATTTGACAAAGATTTATTCAGCTCCTACTACGGGACCTGTTCTAGATCCTGGAAACTGAGCATTGAACAATAAAAAGTCCCTGCTTTCATGGAGTTTATATTCTAGAAGGGGAGACAGACTATAATGAATGGATAAATGAAGAAGGTGATTTCAGAGAGCAGTGAAGACTAAAATAACAACAGCTGGCAGTCAGGAGCACTACAATATGCTTGGCATGTTGTAGCTTCCACATATGAGCCCTCACAACAATCCTAGAGGAAAGTATTTTTATTGTTTCTGTTTTTCAGATCAAGAAACTAAGGCTAGAGAGGTTAGTGTACCCAGCATCACACGCTGAAGGAGCAGAGCTGTGGTTTGAACTTGGGGAGTCTGGCTCCACACCCCCTGCTCTTAACCACTAGACTACAATACTATAGTGAAGTGAGTAGTGTGAGGAGGTGGCTGGTGGGGCCAGGAGTCCACTTTAAATAGGAGGATCAGAGAAAGTCTCCCTGAAGAGATGACATGTCACCTATGAGTGGTGAATGAGAAAGAACCATCAAGTGAACAAATGGAAGAAAAAATGTTTCTGAAACAACTTGGGTTAAGAATTAAAGACATCTTGCTATACGAAGGGGTTTTCAAGGAACAAAATATTAAAGTACAACCTAGAACACCCAGGATTGGAAAAGATTTGGAAGCTGTTCCAGATCCCATCAATATGTTGAAGTGACTGTACTCCTCTGATATACCCTGTCAGTAAGTCTTTCTCAAAATACCATGCAAGTCTCCACCCAGCACCTTCCTACCCTACCCAGAACTGCAAGACTTAATTCATCCTCAGTTCCCCCAGTAAGACGAATCACCCAGCAGATCCAGCTCTCCCCCTCCCTCCAACCCACCCCACCCTCCCCCCAACCCCTGCAGTGAACCTCCCTCATTAATTAACCTTGTGCGAAAGTTAGTAGAAGAGCTGGTGAGAACCCATGACATGACACAGCTGAATAATATCCCTATTTATCTGTTCATTCTCAGTAAGTAAATCTAGCAGCTTATAAAACATTCCAATAAAACTGGTAATCACCCCACCACCACACAATAAACACAAATAAAAAGAAATGGTGATGATAATTTCTCCATACTCTCAATATTTTCTCTAATTTATTACCACTGTATGCATCTTTCTTTTCCCTTAAAGATTCAAGATGTTAAGCCCTGTTTGATGCAGGTCACTGTATTTCTCTCCATTTTTTCTGTGACCTTGGCACATGGACCTTTCTAACTCTCTCCATCACTTTATCTGTTGTTGTCATTGACAGTAATCATAGTAACAAAAGTGCCACTTATTGAACATTGACTCTATGGCAGGCACTGTGGCAAATGCTTTATACTTATTTAATTCATACTTAGTATTATTTTTTAAATTCCTTTATGTCAGTCATTGTCCAAATGTTACATTCTATTACTAGGCCCATTTTGCAGGTGGTGAACTGAGGCCTTAATAGATGGATGCTTTCCCATGTTTACTGAGCTCTTAAGTAGCTACTGAGGAGCCAGAATTGAATCCAGGCAGGTGGGCTCCAGAGTTGGTCCTCTTAACCCCTCCACTTAGGTGCTTAAATAATTAAGTCCAAAGAGCAACTTAATATGAGCTGGACCACAACATATGACAAATTAATTTAAATTTTTAAAAGGAAAACCTTTTGCCTGATTAAGACCTTCCCTCTGCAGCTCACCATATCCCACTGCACTAGCCTGTCAGTGCTTGGCAATTCCAGTGCCCCCAAAGACTTATGCAGATTCACCTTCCTTTCTAGGACTCTCATACCTGCTCACGTCCCCACTAACCAAGAATCCTCTCCAAAGGGTGAATCTGCATCTGCTAATTCAGGTGTGGCGTGTAATATAAGCTGTTATTGCTTGGTTTGCCACGTCCCAGTCCTCAGGAAAGTTGCCCTTTCTCAGTGAAGTTTGCCAACTCTGAGATGACATTCGGTCATTTCTGTCCTCATTTGCTTTGAAATCCATAGTAGCATGTTATCTAGACCAGCCACTTTTTATACCTCAGGGACTTCTCTGTTGTCCACGTCTCACTGTTGGTCACATATCTTAGCATAACACAGCTCTCGTTTAAATTGCAGTGCATCAATATTCTGTCTTCTTGATTAGGTCTATGTCTGGGGGAACTTACTAGGTAGAGCACATGGGTTACAAGGAGATATGTAATCAGAAAAATTAGAGAAGTGAAGACTAATTGGGTTGCCTTCTTAGCTCCTGTCTTTGGAGGAGGATAGTTTCCTTTGGTGTGAGACTTGCAGTTTTCTAATCTACTCTTAAATGCCCACCAGCACCACTCTCTCTTCTGGAGTATTTATCCACACATGTTCCTAACACTAATGGCATAGTAGAGCAGCTTAGACAGGGAAACACAAAGAGACAGAAAATCTCTGTCATGTTTATATAATGTTGAGAATGTCTTACAAATCTTCACAGAGGTGAAATCCTCTAATGCTGGCAATTCCTGCTATGACACATGTAAACATTACTAGTGGATGATGGGAGAACTTAAGATTCTTAAAAATAAACAGTCCCCCATCTGGGATGATTTGGGTATGGACTTGCCTGTAGCTAAGTGTTGAGCTAGATGACTTCTGAAATCCTATCTAGCCTCCTTATGATATAAAGAATCATGACTAGAAAATAATTGGTAGATCCACTGGTTTGTTAGGATGGCTGATATACCCCATCTTTAAGAGTATCTGTATCTAAACATGAAGTAACAAAAGCAATAAACTAGAGGGTGCTAATTAACTGAAGAAACCTCTTGTGCCTTCTCTATGCACAAACATAGATGTCTTTTAAAATAGAAACTTCCTTTATTTTAAAAAATTTATGGAGTAAGGGGCACACATAATTTTAACAGTGACTTGTTTTATTTGAGGTGTCATAGATCCCTTTAAATATTTGATGAAATCTGTAGAAGCTCTCCCAAAGTAAATTCATTTTGCATCAGCAGGTTCTTGAATCCTTGAAGTTTATCCATTGATCTCAGGTTACAAAACCCTATTTAATATGATGACATCATTGGTACTTATCAGGAAACCAAATTATAGCATCTTCCAGAACCTATTTCACCAGTATCACATTTCCTTCCTTATTTTTCCCCCTCCTTTATCCACCTAGTGTTAATACCTGTTGAAGTCCTATGGCAAAATACTCCTAGACTGCAGAAGTACAAAATTAAGATTTACAT